TCCAAAAGTCCTAAGTCACATAGGATGTGCTTAATCCCCCCAGCACTGAATTGTGAGGATGCATGTGAAGTGTGAGGGAAGCTCATTAGAGACTGGGTCTCAGGGTCTTTATCGGGGGCTGGTCATGTAGGCACTCTCTGCCTGGCATGTACCGGAATTTCAGACTCCCAAAAGAAAAGCAGAGGTTCAGCATAAACCGCATTATTTTATGAACAGTTTAGGCTCAATGAACTATGCTTCTCATTTAGGGAACAGTGGGAACCCTCCCAAATACCAGACAAGTTCCCAGACACCAGGCAAGAGCCAACATTGCAGTCAGGCCTTTCTGATGACGGCAGTCTCAGGCTTCCTAGAACTCCTCTATGCAGTAGGTATGTTTTTATGCCTTCCCCCTGTATCAGTGAAGAAAAGGAAGCTTAGAAAAACATAACAATAAAAAATTAAAATTAATTAATTAATTTTTTAAAAAAAGAAAAGCCAACTACTTAACTTGTAAGTGATGGAATTGAAATACAAACTCAGATCACTGACTCCCAAGCCTGTGTATTACTCTGGAATCACAGTATGCTGGAATTGTACGAAAGAAATTTGAAAGGGACCACAGTTGCAGCAGAACAGGGGGTACTGAAAAAGTTCAGGACATGCCACCCCAAAATATGCTGCTTTGGCATATCAATTATTTTGAATTAAAGGCACTTGAAAATAGCAGGTACAAGAAGGGCACTCTGACCTTTTTTTTTCCCCCTTGAAAGCTTAAGATTTAATTCCCACAAGAAAGATGCCCTCCTTGTGCCAGGAGGAAGAAACATTCTTAATCACCAGAGAAGGGTGTCTAGGCTGTTAAAATAACTTAGCTTCCTTTAGTCTCCATATATTTTAGTTACTTTTCCACATTTGCTACTCTTTGTTCAATCTAGTATGTAAGCACTTAGGCCTCCTCACTTCTTTGGGTATACATTTTTTCCATGAGGACTTTCATGTACATGTAAATAAAATTTGTATGCTTTTCTCCTGTTAAATCTCTCTCTCTCTCTTTTTAAAGATTTTATTTATTTGAGAGAGAGAGAGAGTGCAAGCATGGGTATGGGGAGGGGCAGAGGGAGAGGGAGAAGCAGGCTCCCCACTGAGCAGGGCTGGATCCCAGGACCCTGAGATCATGAACTGAGCATAGGGCAGACGCTTAACCAATTGAGTCACCCAGGTGCCCCTCTTGTTAAATCTATGTTATGTCAGTCCCCGCCAGAAACCTTAAAAGGGTAGAGGAAAGAGCCCAGATGTCCACTGACAGATGAATGGATAAAGAAGATGTGAGATAGATAGATATATATAGATATATATACATACATACATACATACACACACACACACACACAATGGAATACTACTCAACCATCAAAAAAAATGAAATCTTGTCATTTGCAATGACATGGATGGAACTAGAGGGTATTATGCTAAGTGTAATAAGTCAATCAGAGAAAGACAATTATGTGATCTCACTCATATTTGGAACATAAGAAACAAAACATAGGATCATAGAGGAAGAGAGGAAAAAATAAGATGAAATCAGAGAGGAAGACAAACCATAAGAGACTCTTAATCATAGGAAACAAACTGAGGGTTGCTGAAGGGGAGAGGGTGGGGGATGCGGTAACTGGAAGGCACATGATATAATGAGCACTGGGTATTATATAAGACAGATGGGTATTATATAAGCAGTGGGTATTATATAAGACTGATGAATCAATGACCTCTACCTCTGAAACCAATATTATGTTAATTAATTGAATTTAAATTTTAAAAAAAGTTTCCCTCTGACCTAGTAACTCCACTTCTAGAGATGTATCCTAAGGAAATAAATTGATTTTTATGTAAAGAAAAAGGAAGTTAATCAGGGGTGCCTGGGTGACGTAGTTGGTTAGGCATCCAACTCTTCATTTTGGCTAGGGTTGTGATCATGGGGTCATGAGATTGAGCTCCACGTCAAGCCCAGCATTGGGCTCTGGCTTAGCGTGGAGTCTGCTTGATTCTCCCTCTCCCTCTTCCTCTGCCCCCCCTCCCAGCTTGCTCCTGCTATCTCTCTCTCTCTCTCTATCAAATAAATAAATAAATCTTAAAAAAAAAAAGGTAGAGGAAAAATTTTACCTCCCCTAAGGTACATTCAAGAAAGAAGCGTTTTTTCTTTTTAAAAAAATTGCTTTTATGGACCCTTTTAAAAAATTGAGTGTAGTTGACAGAATGTTACATTAGCATAAGGTGTACAACTTAGTGATTTGACAAGTTTATATGTTATGCTATGTCCATCACAAGTGTAGGTACCATCTGTCCCATTACATCCCTATTATAATATCATTGACTGTATCCTTCATGCTGTGCCTTTTATTCCCATGACTTACTCTTTTATGGACCTCCTTTTTGTGGGGGAGGGGGAGGAGCAGAGGGAAATGGAGAGAGAGAACCTTAAGCAGGCTCCACACCCAGTGAGGAGCCCCACCAGGGCTCGGTCTCACAACCCTGAGATCATGACCTAAGCCAAAATCAGGAGTCAGATGCTTAACCGACTGAGCCACCCAGGTGCCCCTATGGGCCTCTTTTTTTTTTTTTTTTAAGATTTTATTTATTTATTTGACAGAGAGAGTGGGAGAGCACAAGCAGGGGAAACAGTAGAGGGAGAGGGAGAGGCAGGCTCCCCGCCAAGCAGGGTGCCCAATGCAGGGCTCGATCCCAGGACCCTGGGATCATGACCTGAGCTGAAGGCAGATGCTTAACCATCTGAGCCACCCAGGTGCCCCTATGGGTCTGTTTTTAACTAGGCTTAGGCACTGGGGAAATGCAAGTTATATTTAATGAATGCAGGAAACCTTGTCATGAATGAGGAATGAATAAAGAAACCAGTGTGACATGGGTGTGAATCCTTAGAAAATAACTTAAAATTACAAAGAGGTCATGGAGCTTTGATTTGTCCCAGCTCCTAGAGGCAATAGTGAGGTTCACACAGGAAAACCAAACCTATTCTAGGTATACCAAGCAGAAAGACATCAACACAGGGAATTCGTAGTTTGACACCGATTGTGACTGTCTCATCTCTCATGCCCTGGGGCTCCATTGACATACCCTCAAGGTAACCTCACTGCCCATTCTTGGGAGAAGAGTCTCCTCATTTCCTAACTCACTCTCTCTAGCTTGGTTTTAGTGTCAATCAGGGACACTTCCTCTAAGAAAATTGTCACTTCTACTCGACTCTTCCCCCAAAGTGTGCTAACTTGACTGTGGCTCACCCCTCCCCCCACCCCGGCTTGTAAATTCCAGTCAGAATGGTACATATTGAGAGAAAAAGGGAAAGAATTCTAGCAGAAATATGAGCTGCACCCCCCTCTCCCCAGTTCTGTCTAAATGTTAACCTGGAATCTGGTGGAGAGAATGAAACAAAGGACCAGATGAGACGCACCAGAGTGCAGCAACACCTCCTTGTTCTCAAGTCATGATGAAAAAATAAAGCTGTCAGACAAAAGAGACTTTTGCAGACTTGAAAGGACCTCATTGAATTCACTCCACGTTGCTATCTAACAGCTTCACAAGATGCTGCTTTTCTTGTCAGAGTCAACCACGGAGGTTGCAGGAACCCATTTTCGTGGTCCTGAGCTTCCCTTCCTACTACTCCTCCTTGTCACCTTTTGTTCACTTTGCAGCTTTTAGGCCATAGGCCATGAATCCCTCCATATTTTCTACATGTAGATTATCGGATGGAGTCAGAGTTGTCTGTGGAATTAATATATTTCATAAAATGTAAAAAGCTATGTCAAAATTAAATATGTAGGTAATCGCTGTCTCCCGAGGCCACGTTCAAGAGTGGGTGGGTGACACCCCCAAGCCGCTTCCTTTTTCTCCAAGGTGGCTAACGTTTTTTTATGGGTGGTGGTGCAGTAAGTTGAATTGTGTCCCCCCAAAAGTTATGTCCAAACCTAACCCCCAGTACCTGTGAATGTGTCTTTATCTGGAAAAATGGTCTCTGTGGATGTAATTAATGAAGTTATAAACCTCAAGATTGGATCATTGTGGATTTAGAAGGGGCCCCAAATTCAATGGTGTGTCCCTGTAAGAGAAATGCAGAAGATGGAAGACAATGTGAAGACAGAGGCAGAAATTGAAACTATGAGTCTACAAGCAAAGGAATGGCAAGGACACTGGCCACCACCATGGAAATCGATTCTCCTTTAGAACTTCCAGAGCAATCAGTCTTCCAGACACCTTGGCTTTGGATGTGTGGCCTCCTGAACTCCGAGAGAATAAAGTTCTATTGTTGAAGCCACACAGATTATAATAATTTGTTATGGCAGCCCTAAGAAACTTATACACTTTGGTATTTCTCATTGCTAGAGTTTACTTTCTATACCCAGTCCTACTGCTACAGTTTCATCATAACAGGGGTTAGCATTTTTTTTTAACATAAAGGGCAAAATACTAAATATTTTAGGCTTACGTGTCACACAGTCTCTGTCAAAACTACTCCACTCTGCTCTCACTGTGCAAAAGTAGCCACAGACAATATATAAATTAATGGACATGACGGTGTTCCAATAAAACTTTATTCACAAGAGCAGGTGGTGGGCCAGGTTTGGCCTATGGGTCATAGTTTGCTGAGCCCGGCGTTAGGATGTTCACCTGTGATGCTGGTGCCCCATTTCTTGGCGTCTTCCTAGAGTCTTCTTTATACCATTTCTCACTGAAGCACTATGGCTTGTTTGGGTTTTTCAAATTCTCTGATAGGGATTTGGCTTTAGTTCTCACTCTCAACCACTGGTTCTTTTAAAATAATCACCTGGCCCAATTTATCTCCTGTTCCTCAGATTTAAAATATTTCCATCATGAAATACATTTTCCTTTTCTCCTTACATCCTACAGTCCCATTTCCATTGTGCGTTTGACATAGTAATGATGAAGGCGTTGTGACTGTCATTTGACAGTGTTGAGTCGTCAGCGGTTGGGGACTGTGCTTCAAAGTGTGTGGGTGGCTTCAAACACTTGGGGGCAAGCAGCTCGACAGCTCTACACTGCTGAGTGGAGGAAATAACAAGAAAAGAACAAGAGGCTGTTTATTGTAAGTAACTTTTATTTTAAGATCAAGCCCAATACGAGGGGAGTTGGGAGGGGAGAAGAAGGAGACAGAGAGACTTCCAAAACAATAAATGATTATTTGGAGGCAGGGAATATAAGCTGAGGGGGAAGGAGGCAAAACAAACATAATGGGATTTTATACTAGAAAATCAAAATCAGTCTGTATAGAACAGTGGAGCTTTAAAATACAAGTGTCAAGGTGAGAGAGGAAGGTTTACTTGGATTCAGAAAGAAATATTTGGGGTTGAAAAGGAGAAGGAAGTCAGAAATCTTCCTCAAAAATCTGAGACAAATAGGCTCTGATCCAGACAGTTCGTCCTCTCTTCTTTTGTCCAGATTAGCCCTTAGTTAGTTTTCTACGGTTGCTGTAATGAATTACCACAAACTTGCTTATTTAAAACAACAGAAATTTACGCTCTCCCAGTTCTGGGGGCCAGAATTCTGAAACAAATATCACAGGCTTCACCAGGGCTGTGCTCCCTCTGCAGGCTCTAGGGGAGAAGCAGTTCCTTGCCTCTGTGAGCTCTGGTCACTGGGGTCTTCCTTGACTTGTGGTCCCATCACTGCAGCCTCGGCCTCCGTGATCACATGGCCTCCCCCTTTTCTCTCTGTCAAATCTCCCTCTGCCTCCCCCCATAAGGGGACAGGTGATGGCCTTTATGGCCCACCCAGATAACCCAGGATAACTCCCCATCTCAAAACCTTTCATTTAATCACATTTGCAAAGATCCTTTTTTTGGCCATAGAAGGTAACCTTCATAGGTTCCAGGGACTAGGATGTGGATATCTTTTCGGTCGGTATTTTCAGCCAACTACAACCCCCAACCTTTATACCCACAACAGTGAAAAGCAATGTAGCTCACAGGTTCCGTTTCCTCCAAGAGCAGTTTAGCAAGAATTTTGAACAGGATAAGGGAATGGGAGCAGAAGGTTGGCTCAGTTTGTCAAATATTTCTTTCAACCACGATACATTTCAGCCCCTCTTCATCGACTGACTCCCCACATATCCACATGGCTGCCTTCTCTTTAATTAGGCTCTGCAGTAGGGAGTGATTATGGAAAGGACTTAAAAAATATAAAGGTGGGTGACAATTTAAATAGGCAGAAACCCAGGAAAATTTTCTACAATGAACATTTTTCTAAGAAAAAAAAATATTTCTAAATATGGACACAGGAGAACATGGACTCTAGGGATGGGGCCCACTGTACTGATACATACCCACCCACTTCCTCTTAATTTCAACATGCCTATAAAATCATACAAAACCAGGAAGCATTTTAAACTGCTTTCCACCTGAATATCCTGCCACGTGCATCTCAAACTCATTACGTGTAAAACAGGACACAATACCTCCCACCACCAGCATGTTCTTCCTTATTCATTGTTACAGCCTGAAAGCAGCTGTGTTAATTTGAGATCCATGAGCTTCAGAATTGGAAACCCCATGAACTGTATGCAGACATTTTTGTATATGTGCATTGGTGCCTTTTCCAGGGGAGAAATCAATAGCCTTCATCAGATTCTCCACAGAATCTTTGACTTCAAAAGGGAAAGAAAAGTCAGCCCTGGCAGGGCACTCAGTCAGATCTACAGAAACGTTGCTGCATAACCTCATGAATTTGCAATATAGAATGCCCACTGCTTTGTTTTTGCATGCATTTGCCAAATTTGCATGCATTGTCATCATAAATTTGCATGATAGCTGGCTGGGAGTCACAGTAAAACAAATTTTGCACCATTCCCTTCCCCCTAGGTAGGGCTACAAGTCCAAGATCAAGATCTTCTCTCCGAAGAAATGGATTTTGCTCTTAAGAACAAGGAAGCAAGGGACCATAATGAATACTTTTTCTGTGTCTAAGAATTATTTTGACATGCCAACACATACCAAATAGACTTCCACATTCTTGGAATGCTTGCCTCCACTTCCTCCAACTTCACCTAATTCATCCTCAGGTCTCAGCTTAAATATTTCTTTCCCCAGTCAACACTCCTGGGACAAGATCAAAGACTCAAGTTTTGAAATATGGGTCTTGTTGCTTACTGAATATCTATATGAAGGGAAGGAAATTGACCACGAGCTAGAAACTGGAGACTGTCCCTCTGGTCTTAACTCTTGAAGCAATCCAAGATTTCCCTCCAACTCCATCCTTTTCTGGAATCACTTTGGTATCCACAGGAAAGGTAGGGCTGGTGCTCAGCAGCAAACAGACTTCAATAGGCCATTGTATCAGAAAAGAGAATCATATGGACATTTTGAAAACAAGGAGAGTCACAATACTCCTTTAGAAAACTAATAAGACCAAAAAGACTATGTCATTGAAAATAGTCATGATGAAGTTTCAAGGGAATAAAACATTAAGAATTATTTTCACTAAATTTTTAATATTTAGAAAATTTTAAGGTCTACTGATTCTAGAGGGACCAGTTTCCCTTTCACAATCTGTTCTTATATCAGCCCATATATTTTGTTTGTGGCATTAGCACAATGACATCTGTATAATTTTATGTTTAATGACTTTCTTTTGCACTTGTCCATAGCTCTGCAAGAGCAGAAGCCGTCCATCTTGTTAGTGCTTAACAGTGCCGATTTCGGTCGATACCAAAAAATATTTGATACACAAATAGATGCATTAATGAATTAATATAGAATTGTGATTGTTTCTCTTCCCCAGAGAGAACTGTCCTTTGCCCAGAGCAGTTACTGGTCACATTGGATGGGATTCTCGAAGTGGGGTGGTTCTGCATGCCTCTCCTTAGAGCGGGGTTTCTCAGCCTCAGCATCGTTGCCGCTCTCGGCAGGGTGGTTCTTTGTTGGGGGTGGGGGGGCTCTCCTGTGCTGTATGCTGTTTAACAGCAACCCTGGCCTCACCTGCTAGATTGCACAAGCACCACCTTCCTTAAGTTGTGACAACCGAAAGTATCTCCAGACTTTGCCAAATTGAAAAACAATGCTCCAAGAAAGAAGAGAATCGCAGGAGGTGTTTCTGAATCTGGGACAAGAGTCGGGGGGTAGGATGAAGAAGAGGAAAACGAAGCTGTGGTTGAAGGCCGGAAAAGCTATGCGTCTGAGGCTCTCCCTGCAGAGGCAGTTTTTTGGGTTTTTTTTCATTTACTATAATAAATCTGTACGCCAAAAAACCCTTGGTTTTTATACTTTGATGTTATTATTTCTTAATTCCTTGCTGAAAACATCTCTTGAACAATTCCAACTTTATTTCTGTTGAACTAAGAAGAGGAACTTAATTTTGTGTGTGTGATTCAGCAGGACAGTTCCCTGAGGCTGAGACAGATGGGAACCGAGAAAAGATTACAGAATTGGGGCAGCTGGGACGCAGCTCCCGACACACCTGGGCGTGCTCGGTGATGGCTTCAGACAGCCTCCTTCAGACAAGCAGCAAACCACACGGAAAGGTGCCTGGAACGGAGTCAGGAGTCAAGTTCTTTAGAGGGTAGGTGCTAGAAATTTGCTTAGTCATCTGAGTGTCCTGTTTTCTCAGTTCTGGATCTTTCTAAATAAAGCATGAGAGAAAGGGGGAGTTTAGAAGGGATAATGGTTTCTGATGAAATGGGAAGAAATACTTTTGCTTTAAAAATTAATGCAGCTATTCCTGTATCCTGGGGCACTGCAGAATTCATTGCTCATTGTTAAGGAATGTACAAAGAATGAAGTTGCAAACGGACACAAACTAAAATTGAAATGTACAAAGACCGCATACTTTGTATTTTCTGTAATAGACCTAATCCTCGTGAGTCCCATCCCACTGGGTAGCAGCCAGTTTGGGGGCGGGGTGGGGAGGACACGTGAACTTCTCTAATGAATGGTGCACTTGCTTTAAAATATTCTGTGTTGACAAAACATTCTATTGATTGAAAATTAAACTTCCCGTGGGAGCTGGATTTCTCCTTTCCCTTCCCTTCCTCAAGGAGGCATCCGGGTGAAGAGGAAGATTGCATCTCGCTGGCACTAGGGAGATGGGGCCAAGGCTGGCCTGGTGCCTGTCCTTCTGCTGTCTCTACAGCAGTCCACCTGGTCCTGTCCTCAGGTAGGTAACAGCTGGTGCCCACTAAGGTGGGCTGGGTCTGCTCTCCTTCAGAGTATCCTGCAGGTGGTAGCTGCTAAAGTCCACAACTGAGGAACTCATCTCGGTCTGTTCTGAGTTTGGTTAGGGTCACCCTGGGGACTCGGCCCTAGCTCCCCCCAACTTGCTGGTTGCTGTGCATCCACTGGAAGTCCAGCTACTAATCCCAGATGTTCGCCATCCCACCTTGAGTTTCCAGCAACAGAGCTTCTTGGCCTTATTCCACATGGTGATAACTTGTGGCCAGTTTCTCAGCCTGAATCTCGTCTATTTTCAGCAGCCCCAAAGGGTATTTGAGAACTTCTAGATTCCTAACATGCCATTCAGACCCTAAGGAGTCAGGAGCTCTACCTCAGATGTCTCTTTGCACATCTCCCTCTCTTTTTTGATATTGACCCTGTGCATGGCACTGCTAAGCAATAACAACACAGCTTGTGCAGAGCTTACAGACAAGTGCAAAAGAAAGTCATGAAACATAAAACTTAATTGTAATTGTGATAATGCCATAAACAAGGAAAAAACAAAAGCCCCTATGCTGTCTGCCCTCCTCTTACTGATTACCTCCCTCCTTCCGGACATCAGCCTTGGAGAAGATAGGAATGACACAGGCTCTCCCAGCCTTACTACCTGTTCTACCTCCTGTGTCTCCCTTCTTCTTCCCATAATCCCTCAGGGCAAGTAGTGGGCTGTCCACACCTTCACTTCCCAATCCCCCTATACCTTTGTAGCAGGGACTAGTCTTACTCTGAGTTCTCTCTCTCTCTGGAATAATGCTTCCATTTTAGCCCACCAGACTCTGTTCTTGATATGTTAATGATGGCTCAAGAAATTTAGAAAATCATCTCATCTCTTGAAAAACACTGTCTTTTAAGACAATTATTTAGTCTCCCAACTGCTCTGGAAGTCAAAAGCTGGGTATCGATTTCCCCTCCTCTTTGCATTCCTACTGCTACAGTCCTAATCCTCCCCAAAGCCAGCAGTCAGCTCTGGCAGAACAGAGAACTGGCTACGCATAAAAATTATAAAAGATAAAAGTGTAAGTCATTAATAAGAAAAAGCACAAGATAAATCCTTGTTATTTCCATTTCACACATTGATGGGGTGTTTTAGGTGTGGGAGACAAGGCCCAGGGCCAGTCCTATGGAGTGGAGAGGCTGAGATAAGGCTCAGCATGATAAAGTCAAAGTGCTTCTCACGGGGCTATGGAGTTTTTTCTCATGCAAAATGACGTCTAGGCTTATCTGGATAGATATAAAAAGTAGAACTTGTGTAAGAGAGGAAATGGGAAAAGGAAACCTAGAGAGTTAGGGCAATCCACAAAAACTTGGCAGGAAAGCAGGCCTGAGGGAGAAGGATGGCTACCAGTAGGACACTCCCTGTGGGGCTGCAGACAGTAGAAATAGGGGTGTCTGAGGTCTGATTTCCTCTCCATCTGCTCCCATTGTCGCGCTTGTCATAGCATTCCCTTGGAGAATGTAAGTGCAGCTATGGTCCTATTGAGGGAAGAAATAAACCAGAAAGAAATGGAGATTTGGTAATAAAATGACCAGAAGTAACTGAGAAGAATCTGGGAGCAGGAATTTGGGGTGAGAGCTGACAGGCTACAACTAGGACAGGTATCTTCCCTAGCTCCTTCCCACATCTGAGCACTTCCAGCTCTATGTGAAGGAGATCAAGTTTTCTTTCTTTTTTTTTTTTTTAAGATTTTATTTATTTGAGAGAGAGAGAGAGCACGAGCAGGGGGAGAGGGAGAACCAGGCTTTCACCAAGCCAGGAGCCCACCTCGGGACTCGATCCCAGGACCCTGGGACGATGATCTGACTGAAGGCAGATGCTTAACCAACTGAGCCACCCAGGTGCCCCAGGGATCAAGTTTTCTAATGGTAAATGCTAATGTGGTAGATTAAAAATGGCCACCAATTCTTGGTTACTTCCCACATAGAGAAGTGGTATTTATTTCCCACCATCTTACATTTGGTTTGGCCTTGTCATTGCTTGAACCAAGAGAATGTGGTGATAGCTATGCTGTGCTGATCCTGAACCTAAGTCGTTAAAAACCTGGCAGTTTATGATTTTCAAAACTCTGTGCCACTACATAGCTATTGTAGAGAAGGAAAATCCTCCTAGGAACCTTAGCCCAGTTGGAAGCACCTTGTCTGACAAAAGTTAGATTAACACAAGAAAAGCAAACAGAATGTAACACACACACACACACAATCATTCAGCAATGAGTCACTCAAAGAGGTGATTAGAACTTTGGCTTATATAGTATCTTAGCAGAGGAACAATAAAATTTTAGAGAAATGACGAGACAAAGGAAAGAGACTTTGTTTGCAGGGCAGCAGACTGGGGAAGGTAAATTATATGGGAAAAATGATAGATAAGGGCTAGCTCTAGCAAGATTTGCTATATAGATTCCTCTGGTGTAGTCTATGGGCTGATAAGGGTCTAGACTTGTCTCTGGTGATTAACTTCTGTCCTTCCTGGTAGAGAGGGGAGGGGGGATACCTTTAGAAATTTATGTCCTGTTTTTAGACAAATGGGAAAAAAGAGAGTTTTTCTTGTATCTACTCTTCTCAATTGCCTTTAGCTCAAAATAATCTTTATGCTGAAGTGGCATATTTTGGGGTGGCATATTCACCTACTCTTCACTAGGTCTAGAAAGATCTCATAGAGAAACCACATGAAAAGATCAGATGGAGACTGACAAGCTCTGGGATGACCTGGAAAAGGAGAGAGACCCAGCCAAGCTCATCCTTCCAGCCATCCTTTCCAAGACGCCAGACATGTGAGTGAGCCATTGGATACTGCAGCCCTGGCCATGACCTGATTGTACCGACATGAGAAACCTCCAGAAAAGACCAACAGAAGAACATCTTAGCTGATCCCAGTCGATTCACAGAAGCATGAGATAGTGGTTGCTTTAAGTCACTAAGTTTTGGGGTGATTTGTTATGCAGCAATTGATAAGTGGAACAGTGGGGTAGGGCCAAGGTGGCAGCAGTGAGAGAGACTGTGGTGTATTGTGCATCGGCTCTTACATGCCTCCATCCGGAAGTGACAGGTGAAATTTCCATTCCTATTTTATTAGCTAAAGCAAGTCCTACAACCATGCTTAACTTCAGGGAAGTTATGTCCAGGAAAGAAAGTTCATGAGTGATATCTACCACCCCACCTCTAGCAGCAAGGGAGGCTGGGGAAGCTGAGCAGGTTTGTAATGATTTGTTTTACCTGATCATGATTCATTACCTAGGTCTGGGCACACTGCAGCCCTGAACACAATCAGGATACTGTTGTCCGGGGTGAAGGCAGGAATACATACAGCATTTGTTTCAAGAGGGGAGTAGGTAAATAACAGAGAGATTGCAAAGGCTGCCACCGGCTCTTGCACCCTGCCCTGACCCTGGCCCCACTCACTATGCTTGAGCTCTCACCATCCTCACACTTTCAATCCATATATTTGGAATTTGAGTTTGGAACAAGCCTGGATGGGGAAGAGAAAGGGAGAGAGAGAAGGGAAAAGGGAAGAAAAGGAGGGATGGAGAAAAAAGGCAGCAGTTATGTACGTGGGTGTGAAATGAAAGACAGGCCTTGAGTGCTCCTGACTCTGACTTCAGAACTTTTTCCACCATTTAGGGGGAGAAAATAATTAATGTTTGCACAAAAATGTTAAACAGAAAGACAAAGGGAAAGGGAACATTTCAAAGAAGTGTGAAATGTGTGGCAGTCTGGGTGGTCTGGTTGAAAAAGGAAAAACAAAATTCTTCTCAGGTTGTACTTTGGAAAAGTCTTGGAGGAATGGAATGGAACATTCTGATCTAAGGCTTATGCCTTGAGTGTTGTTCTCTCTATCCACGCTCTAATGTAGATAATCTTTGTTTCTTTCTCCCCTTTCTTTTAAGTTCCCAATTCAGCTCACAGGTTCTTCCCTGCTGGTCAAAATTAAATCCAAAATAGCAACTCTTTTTTTATTTCCATATTAAGTGAAAGATAAAATCCTAGGAAAATGTTTAACCATCTTCAAAAGACTTTTCATATATTGTCCTCAAGTGAACTTTATTTCATCCTTATTTTACTTATTAGAGAATCGGGGCTAAGAGAGGTTAATTTATCCAAATGCACCTAACACATATGAAACTAGATCTAGTCACCTTCATAATCCCTTAAGTTAACGACCAAAATACTCAGACTTTCAAAAAGTTATTTGGTGCATTGTTCTCAATTGAACCTGGGATCTAGAAATTGTCTAGATAGCTTGGCCAGCATTTGTTGTCTCATTCAGGAATACTACTTCTAGTTCCTCCTTCTGATGGAACTGACTTTAGTATCTTCGCACATCTATATCATTTTTGCTTTCTCTCTACTTTTATTGTCATCCAAATGTTCCCCCACTGTATTCCCAACTAGCAGTTATGGGTTTCCACATGTGTGGATATCTCAAGTCATGCCCATTCATGGCCAAGTCTGTTTATGCTGAGTCTACTCACTCAATTTTATGATGCCTATTAGGTATATTTCCTGCCTTATATTGAAGCCTCAAGTTCACCTAGTTTTTGCCCCTGCTTTGCTGTCTCTCCCACTCCAGCCCCTTCAAATAAATCACACTACCCACAAAGCCTGCCCTGGGCTTCGGTAAAACTTTGATGGAATTCATCATCACTTTGCCCTGATTTTCAGATCCATGGCTCTTACATTTCCTGGTTCTCTTGGGCCCTGAACCTAGCTCCTGTTTTCTGCCTAGTCCTGTTGGTTAGTGGCATGAAGTTGCTCCTCCAATTTTGTCTATGTCCATACTAATGAATGCCTTATTGAAGCATCTGATAATAATGAGAACTGCCATTAGTTATGGGTCTACCATGTGTCTACCTCTGAGCTAAACATTTTATGTATTATTGCATTTACTCCTGTAGGGGAGGAAAAATAATTTTCCCTCTACTCTTCTAAGTTCTCTGCTGGGAACTCTGT